AGAAGACCAGGAGAGATTGTCGGTAAAAATAACTCCCAAGTCTCTGCATGAATCACGAGTCTCAATACTAGACCCCAGGAAAGAGTAATCAAAGTAAAAAGGGGTTGACCTAGGGCCATGAAACCTCATGATAAAGGTTTTGCCACAGTGAAAATGTAGTCTCGATTCCACACCCCACTCTCTAATCCTCTCCAGATCCTCCTGAAGGAGGAGACAGTCAGCTTCAGAGGAGATAGCCCTCTGACACTTACTGTCATCAGCATATAGCAATAGAGAGGAATGCAGAGGGGTAAGTGGAAGGTCATTGATGTATAGGAGAAATAATAGGGGCCCCAAAATGCTCCCCTGTGGTACGCCAGAGGTCACAGGCAAAAAACCAGAGTGACAATTGTTTACGGAGACAAACTGGACCCTGTTGTCTAGATAAGCTTTTATAATCCTCCAGGTAATGCCACAGACTCCAGATCTCCAAAGTTTCAGTAAAAGAGTGTGATGACAAATGGAGTCAAAAGCTTTCTGAATATCCAAGTACACAACATCTGTTTGACAGTGACCAGAAAGAGAAGCAAAAATAGAATCTAGATGAGTAAGGAGCTGTTGGACAGTGGAACAGTGCTTTAGAAAACCAAATTGGCTAGAGCAGATTTGGGAGGACAGATGAGGGTAGATATGATTGAAAATTAAACGCTCAAAAACTTTTGAGATAATACATAAGAGGGAGATGGGTCGATAATTATTTATGAGAGACTTATCCCCAGCTTTGGGAATGGGTGTAACTTTATGGACTCGCCATTCTTTTGGAAGATATGACTGAGCCACACATTGTGAAAACAAGTGATATATTGGCTCACATAGGGAGACAGCACAGTACTTCAAAAGGTATGCAGAGATACCATCAGGACCAGAGGCTTTATTTACTTTCAAAGAAGCAAGGAGCTTATATACATCAGGGACAGAAAAAGAGAGATCATCAAGAGAATCGGAGGGATTAGAGAGAAAGGAGTAGTCAGTGAGAACAGAGGAAGAGCTAAAAACAGAGTGGAAAAATGAATTGAACAATTCAGCTTTGTCCTGGTCAGAGTGAGCAGACTGTGAGTCAAGAAACATCACAGTAGGGATAGAGTGAGATCCAAGAGTGTGCCTGATGTGTTTATATATACCAGAGTCATTAGTAAAGGCAAATTTATTCACAAGATTAGTCTCATAGGCAGCCCTGGCCTCCAGAATATCTTTCTGGAGGTCCTGTTCTACCAGTGAGAGAGAGAGCCTCGCCCCAGCTGGGTTCTGCTGTTGTCTGACCCGCCTGCGGAGAGAGCGAACCTTGTGAAGTTTATGCCTGATATTACCATCAAACCATTTAGGATAGTGAGAAGAGCGAACTAAGGGAATAAACCTCTGACATGACTCAGTTAGAAGTGATGTGATAAAAGACCACAAACCTTCGATATCTGATGACATGTAGAAAGCATCCCAGTCGTGGTCAAGCAGAAAATCATTAATACCCACGTAATCACCTTTAGAGAAATTGTAAGAGGGAAAAGAGTGAGAGAGAGGATGGGAAAGTTTGCAAGAAAAAGAAAACGTAATAGGATAATGATCAGAGGATACCAGGAGAGGAGAGATATCAGAATGGACAACTACATTGGATATGTAAGCAGGACTCTGGGTAAGAACCAGATCCAAAGTATTACCTTTCTCATGAGTAGAGTCCAGAACAAGCTGTTTTAAGCAATGGTCAAAAACAAAGTCACATAGCAATCGAGAACAACAGCTGTCACTGCTTAGAGATGGCCAATCAATATCAGGACAGTTAAAGTCACCAAGAAGAATAAAGTCCCTGTTTGAGGTGACAGAAGCTAAATAGTCGAATAGCCTAGGGACAAATATGAAACAGAAGGAGGAGGAGGGACATACACAAGACAGATGAGAATAGTTTTAGGAGTTTGAACCTCAACAACCAAAAGCTCAAGATAATCAGGGGAGGGGAGCTGCCGAGAAGGTAAAAATTCTGAAAAGGCAAGCAAAACACCCCCACCCCTAGTGTCTCGATCTTTGCGATACACAGAAAAACCATTAGGAATGAGCTCTCCATCTTTCATATTACAAGGACACCATGTTTCAGTGATAGCTACAAAATCATATTTTGAGGAGACAAAAAGAGAATAAAGTTGCTGACGCTTGTTTACAATGCTACGAGCATTCCATAGAAAACAGTTAATATTAGATAGTCAATTTGACTCAGAGGGTGTAACGCCAGAGGAATTGACCATTGTGTTTGAGGGGGGAGTGGCACTATGAGAATTTGATACACTCTGGGATGTGGACAAGTCTGTCTGAGATACAGACAAACTTGTTCCTAGCTCAGAAAGTGAAGGTGCTAATTCACCAAGACTTTGAGAGCTAATGTACACACCATTAGCCACCCTCCCTACTAATCTATCACTCACATACAAATGAGACTTCCTTATCTTTATAGTGGTAATGTCAATACCGGATTCAACTAGCTTGTCTTTCTCCCGAAAGAGGATAGAGCGATCTGAGCGTTGAGAAGGAGAGAGGTCACGCCTAATAGAATAAAATCTCTTTGAAATAAAAGTGAAGGGAGGAACACACAAATGAACGACATAATAAAGAAATAAATAGTTTAGGCAAGTTATGATAAATTTAAATTAAATTAAATTAAATCAGTGGACTAGAATGTGACCATCAGATATCGCAACCTCAGCATCAACATCACCAAAGTTGGGCCGGTATAGTGACTTTCTTGTACCACAGATGCAGCGAATGGTCGAACATAAAATAGAAAATGATAGTTTACACCTAATGAGATTGATGAGTGGACTGTATAGGTATTTTGTAGATTTTGGCTCATTCTTTAAAATGGCCGTAACTTAGAAAATTGAAGTCAGAATCAGCTCACACTTTCTACACAGAATAAGGACAATAATATGTATTAGAAAATGTAATAAAAATTGGGGGGTGATTTTGGAGCCATTTTAAAGAAAAAACCATGGGCTATTCTTTGTTTTCACGATAATTATTCATAGTTTTAATTGAGGATATGAATTATCATTGCATCACGTTGACAAGTGCCACACCCCATTGTGGGAATAAGCTGTTTGAGCCATTGACTGCAATGGTAAATAATTGCTGGGTCTTGGGCAGCTACAGCTTTGCAGGCCACAAAACTTGCCTGATATTCTTCTCTTCTCTATTGAAGAAGAAGAGGAAATGAAAAAATTGGACAGAAATAGTTAGGAGAGCAAGATGGAAGCGAAAGAAGCAGGAAAAATTTTGTCAATAAACAGTTCACTGTAGGCTACTTGCAATAATGTTTCTGATGGTTTAACTGCTTTCTAGACAAAATGCAAGATAATTCTGATCATCTAGACTACTTTTCAACACTGATTTCTTGCTGTAACAATAAGCAGAAAAATACAAAGATAGTAAAGTAATGCCTGGTAATTCAAGGTAAGCAATGATATTACAAGCTGTGAATCTACTCTTAACTGCAGTTTCAGCTATAAAAAGTGATGCAACAACATGAGAACAACCTTTATCATACCACAACATGCAACCTGAGGAAGACTAAAACTGAATAATCTGAAAGTCATCAATCAATGCATAGCAGTGACAGAGAATGATGTTTCAAGTGTCTTGTGTTATTTAATGATGAATTTTTCTCTATTTACCATCTCGTTCTTTCAATTAAACATGTCCTGAGTTCAATGAGTGGCCATAAAAGAGGCCATTACTCATGTTTCTAGAAATTTAACTGTTTTTGTTATGAATATGGGTAGTTTGTGTCTTCAAGACCGAGATGATTTAGTTTCTCAACGTGTCTCCTCTGCTAAAGCGAGTTCAAGCCCTTGCAATAAGTATTTTCCATTGCAATGCATGCATCTTTCCCACAATTGGGCGTGGTACTTGTCATCGTGATCATGACAGCATTCTGATTCATTTCCTCAGGTTATTATGGTTAATACTCAATGAATAAATCATCTTGAAAATGAAGAATAGCCTTGGGTATTTATTAACATTGCCATATCTCATTCATGATATACACTTAACATAAAATTTTTCAATTACTCTACCGTGTGTGTGTGTGTGTGTGTTTATTTAATATCTTACAGATCATCAGGACAGTTTTTAGGTTGGGGGAGTCTGTGGCCAGTAGTTAAATAGTTTAACATATTTTCAGGTAGTACATCTTCATAAGGAGTCTTTCCTCTTGTCATTATCTCCCACAGTACAACACCAAATGACCACTAGAATATACAAACAATATGAGAGTACAAAGTATAGTCTGTATGTGTGTGTGTGTATTCATAAAATCAGTGAGGTTTCTATAATGAATGTTGGCAGCCATTTTCAATGCACATCTGCCTACATGTAACTTTTAATCATAAAACCACCAAGTATTGTACTAGAGCAATAGAGTATCATAAAGGTTAAGGATAGAGTGAAAATATTATGATTGACAATATTAAATTATTAAAAATTGACAATACAGTGGCCTAGTGTAATATATTTGCTGTATTTGGAGGTACTCAGTATACAGTATGTATATTATATAGCTACAAACATGTATACGTGTAGCATGTAGGACAGATAGCTTTTGCATGCCTATTACTGCATTGACAAGAGTCTAATCTACATGTTCAAAATGGCCGTTGGGTAGATTATAAATCTCATTTATACCCCAAATCATTAATAATAATGAGAAATTGAAAACTAGCTTCTGGGAAAAATTGTATCACCGTACCTGGACAAAAAAATATTTACTATAAAAACACCCACAGCATTTTTGTAGCATTTACTACAGCATATCCTTGTCAAAGATAAACCCTAAACCATAACAGTCATGTATATATATGGTCTTATCTGATTAGTGTAAATACCAAACATACATGTCATCACTATCATCATGCCACTATGCCACCTACACTACCTATATAAAACATACTGTATAGCTAAGGGAAATTCAATTTTAGCCACTCTCAGTCAGTCAATCATGTCTGTTCTCCTCATAGGATCTACTGGAATGGGAAAGAGCAGCTTTGGGAACTTCCTTATTGATCCAGGCGAGAAGCACGTGTTTGACAATCCAACTTTTTCTCCAGGTACGGACGGCAGGCCAAAAACACAAGAAGTTAAAAGTAAGAATGTCCAACTTAAAAGTGGTGAGACAGAGATGCGGCTTGATGTTATTGACACTCCGGGGTTGAATGAGAGTGCTGAAAAAGATTTATCTCACATGATCGATATTATCAAAAAATTGAACGATTGTGAGGGAGTTAAAGCTTGTATTCTCGTTGTTAAATTCAATGCTAAAATTGATGCACAATATAAAGCAACAATAGAATACTACAGTAAGCTCTTGCCTGGCCTGTTTGAGAGAAATGTTATTATTGTGCTGACCGAATATGCAACAGATGAACGTTCAGAACAACAGCGAAAAAAGAAGCGCATTGATGTTGAACAAATAAAACATGACACAATAGCAGAGCTTAAAAAATGCTCTAATCAGCAAATAATGTATTCACCACAACTATTTATGATTGACTGTCTGCCAGTGGATGATGATGAGTTGAAGACAAGTCTAGCCATACGTAGTGCAATCCTTCACTACATCTTTCAATTGCCACCAATAAAAGTAAAAAACGTAATGGTTGCAAAAACAGATTACATCAAACAGAAAGATGCCGAAAAGTACAAAGAGCTGCAGGGAGAGATAGCAGGATATAGTGAGAGGTTGAAAGAGGTTAATGCACTGAGCAAAAATGCCCTTGATGAAACACGCCACAAAACGAGAGAAATTAATGAAATCGAAAGTAAAATATGCAATCTGAAGAAGCAGTTGGAAGACAAAGATAAAGAGGATAAAGTTGTTGCTGAACATCAGTACATTAATAAAGAATCAAAAGAATTGGAATCGATCACAGAAGCAGTTGATATTAAATCACCTTATGAAATCACAAGTTACATGACATGGACAAATGGAAGATGTGAGTTCAAAGTGCTTGACCAAACACCTTATACCATTAAAGGAACAATTGAAGGCGAATTCATGCGTGGAATTTATGCATCAGTTACTGCCTATACTGAAAAAAGAATAAAATATACTGGTGAGATTGAAGAATTAAAGAAAAAAATAAAAACAAAAAATGAAAATCTTATAGAGTGCAAAAAAGCATGGGAAAAATGTCGAGTAGAACAAAAAGAATATTTAGAAGAAATAAAATTGCTTGAAAAATACATTGCTCAAAGGCATGTTGCTGCTCAAAAATGTCGCTCAGATATCATGACAATAGAGGAAGCTGCAATAAAGCTGGAAGAGTTGCAAGAAGAAAGATTTGATGATTAAAAAACAACTCAGTAATACCATACAATATAACAATGTGCTACAAATAGTTATAAATTCACGTTTTCATTTAATATTTAGCATTAGCTTTTATTAGTGTCACATTGGTTTTGATTTATAGATAAAATTAAAAAAAAACTAACTTTTAAAACTAGAATAGAATGTGTTGCCAAGGGCACCGCACAGTGAACAGAAACTGAAGATAATGGCTGCTATGTATCATTATAATCAATTTCACAATATCATTCTTACAATTGGAGGACAAGTACAGTGTGATTGTTTCTAAGAACTTTTTGCTTCAATAGATTTGCTTATTAAAGTGTAACAGTTGTTTTAGGTTGGCAGTTCAATAACCTGGTATACAATGTACCATAAAATTTCAAAATAAAAGCCTGGCTCAAATGAACACCTATTGCTATACATGAGCTACGTTTTATCATTGATCATGTTTTATAAGCTGGTAGTAAGTGATTGTACTTGATTAAACAGACATACATTGCATGGGAGTATCTAGAAATTGGAAAAGGAGGGTGCTGAGGGTGTGTGAAGCGTCATGGAAGCGTGCCACAATTTTAGCCACACCCCTTTTTACGGCGTAAAACCGCATTTTCTTCATTTTCATGAATCAAGATAATTAAGTTAAGATAATTTCAATTCAAGCATACTGCCTGATACTTGTACTTCTGATGACTTCTGATTGCTCCTTAAAGCACTGGAAACTGCTGAACTTATGATCAGGGGGCTAGATAACTTTAATAAGAGGCTTGGTAGTGATGCAAGAGTCCAGAACTTCAGTAATCTTTTTCTGAGCCCAGCCATGAGGGGGTGCTCAAACCCCCTCAGCCCTTCCTAGATACACCCCTGCATTGTATAAGTCACATCTGCACTGTACTGTCTGTACATACACAAGACATACGTTATGTAATTGTAAGAATTATTAAAATGTGCTTGTTTTGGTTGCATTCTTGTCATCGAGTAAATTGAAAGAGGAGATTCTTCTTGACATGAACTCCACAAAGTCGTGATAAACAACACAGAGAATCCGTGCATTCTAGTAATCTACAACCACATACTCACACACTGACTTGGTTACAAATTTTATTATCGACACAACAAATGAGAGACTGGGAGTCTTTCCTCTTGTCATTATCTCCCACAGTACAACACCAAATGACCACTAGAATATACAAACAATGAGAGATCATCAGATACATTGTAGGTTTACATACACAATGAGTCTGTGTGTGTGTGTATTCATAAAATCAGTGAAATTTTATAATGAATGTTGGCAGCTATTATATGTTCAAAATGGCTATTGGGTACATTATAAATCTCATTTATACCCCAAATCATTAATAATAATGAGGAATTGAAAACTAGCTTCTGGGAAAAATTGTATCACTGTACCTGGAGTCCTGGACAAAAAGTATATTTACTATAAAAACACGTCCCACAGCATTTTTGTAGTATTTACTACTGCATATCCTTATCAAAGATAAACCCTAAACCATAACAGTCATGTATATATATATGGTCTTATCTGATTAGTGTGAATACCAAACATACATGTGAGTGATTATGTCATCACTATCATCATGCCACTATGCCACATACACTATCTGTATAAAACATACTGTATAGCTAAAGGAAATTCATTTTTAGCCACTCTCAGTCAGTCAGTCAGTCAGTCATGTCTGTTCTCCTCATAGGATCCACTGGAATGGGAAAGAGCACCTTTGGGAACTTCCTTATTGATCCTGATGACACACACATGTATGATAGACAAACCTTTCCTGCAGCTACTAACAACAGGCCCAAGACACAAGAAGTTAAAGTGGCAAGTAAACATTTTCCAATTGAAGGTAGTGATAGAAAAATGGAGCTTAAGTTAATTGATACCCCGGGGTTGAATGAGAGTGCCACAAAAGATTTATCTCACATGATCGATATCATTAAGAAGTTAAATGAGTGTCAAGAAATTAGAGCTTTTATTTTGGTTGTTAAATTCAATGCTAAAATTGATGCACAGTACAGAGCAACAATGGAATATTATAGTAAGCTCTTGCCTGGCCTTTTTGAAAAAAATGTTATTATTGTACTGACTGACTATGCGACAGATGAACGCTCAGTGAAACAGCGAGAGAGGCAATGCATTGATGTGGAGGAAATAAAACGTAACACAATACTAGAGCTTGGCCAATGCTCCAATAACCAAATAACGTATTCACCTCAACTGTTCATGATCGACTGTCAGCCCATGACCAGTGCTGAGAAGGAGATTAGCAAAAAGGAACGTAAAGCAATCCTTGACTACATCTTTCAATTGACACCAATAGAAGTAAGAAACCAAATGGTTGCAAAAACAGATTACATTAAACAAAAAGATGCTCAGAAGTATGAGCAGTTACAGGGAGAGATAAAAGGATATAGTGAAAGGTTACAGGAGGTTAATAAAGAGAGCAAAAATGCTCTTGACCAAACACGACACAAAAACAGAGAAATTACTGAAATCGAAAGTAAGATACATGATCTGAAGAAACAGTTGGAAGACAAAGATACAACTGGTGAAATCGTGGCTGTGAATTGCTCTATCAATGAAGAATGGAAATGGTTTCAATGGCAGACACGAGAATTTAACATTGAATCGCAACATGAAATTTCAAGTCATACAAAATGGACAAATGGAAATTGCCAGTTTAAAGAGATAGTCCAAAAACCAGATGCCATTAATGGAAGGATTGAAGGCAGTTTCATGCGTGGGATTCATGCCTCCATTACTGCTTACACACAAAAGAAAATAAAATATGCTAAAGAGATTGAAGATTTGAAGAAAAAAATAGAGACAAAAAATAAGATTCTTACAGAGTGCAAAGATGAATGGGAAAAATATCGAGCCGAACAAAAAGAAAGTTTAGAAGAGATAGAACTATTAGAAAAATATATTGCACAAAGGCGTGTTGTAGCTGAAAAATGTCGCTCCAATCTCATGACCATGGAGGATGCTGCAACAAGGCTGGAAGAGTTGAAAGGAGAAAGATTTGATGATTAAAAATTAACTTCAAAACATAAAATAGTTACAGAATTTAGTAGACTATAAAACTTAGAATTTTACTTGATATTTAGTATTATCATTATGATTTATTAGTGTCCCATTGATTTTACATGTACGTGTACTGGCCTTATCAAAGCAAAAAACATATCAACTTTTGTCAAACATCTAAAGTTCATAGACCTCAAGGAAGTAGTGTATAGGATGGATAGTTTTTGCTATGTACACTATGCACTCAAGATGAATGCCAATAACATTAATTTTATTATTATGTCATGAATAATAATGAGATGGTGAGCTAGTGCATTTCCAAAAGAATCTTATCATTTTTGATGCATAGTACATCTACACAAATGCTTTAATTTTGACGCTTTATTTCGTGCCACATTTTTTGATTTCATATTTTAAAAGAGGTGTGGCAATACTATTCATTATAAGTAACTCCACCCACTTATATTAATAATCTTACTATATATTCCTACATGCCAGGTCTTTATGTACTTGTCCTTTTCTAGTTAAATGGTACATTCCTCTGGCCACTTGTTCAGATATAAATACAAGATCATGTGTTGATGTACACTGACCAGACTGGAGAGAGAGAGAGGGGAGAGAGAGAGGGAGAGAGAGAATTAAAAGAAATAGATAAATACAGTACACACACCACACAAAATACAGATGTACAGGTACATGTACATATTAATGATATTACATCGGCAGGGAGAAAACATTAATATAATTAAAGTATCACATGTATGTACAGTATTATACATGTACATAGTAACAGAATACATAATAATGAAAAGGGCAAGGAGGAAATAATAAAAGGGGAAATAGATAAATACACTCATATACATGTACATGTACATACAGTGGAGGGAGGGAGAGGAAGAGAGAGAGCTAGTAAGAAGAGACAAAAATATGAAATATATTATAACACACTGAATACTAACACAATAATTATGCACCAAGAAATATAATAAAAATTGTTGGAATCTTCGGAATCAAGACTTATGACTTATGACAAGTAATATGGCACAATACTGCTGCCTAGATATATTTAAAAGAGTTGAGAGAGTCTAGTACTGCTAGTCTGCCATATTTCTGCCTACTCTTCCCAAAGTTGGACGGCCAGGATGAAGTTTGAACTACCAAGTAAGAATTAAGAAATTCTACATATACATGTATTAATGCAATAGAAGGTAGTTTTCTACTGGAAAATGGTTTTGTCTATCTTGAGAGTGTCAGCACAACTGCTGCATTTTTTGTCTCCCTTACTTTGCAAGCTTCTTCTTAGCGCTGCTCTTTAAACATTTTAAGCTGATAAATGAAGGCTTGGACTAGCTGTGGAGAAAGCTAGATCTATGAGCTTAGAGCACTCAGTTTTTTAATTTAAAATATTAAAAAAATCTAATTAAAAATTCATGATCACAGACAGACAACCAAAGTACTTAATACTCGCCTACGCGGCGAGTCCAATTATACAACATGTACATACAGAGGGAGGTAGAGGAAGCTGAGAGCTATACAGACAAACTATAAATATATTAATAAAAATTGGTGGGTCTTTGCTATCACAAAAATTGATATAAAATGCCAATGTTCTACACGTACCATTAAATACTAGTTATTATAATTACAGCATACAATAACAATGCATGTATATTATTGCTACACTAAAATTATGTTCCTTGAAACACAAATATTTGCATATTATCCCGCCATTGTACAATGATGTCACAATCACACTACCACAGCCACTGGCATTCACCATAAACACACAGCCACATGCAATGTTTGATAAACAACTATATTAACCCAATTAATTAATAAAGTGCCACAGCATAATGCTAAAATATTCACATTACGATCAAGAAATACAACATTATTGCTCTCATCACAAAAGCATGGCCACTAGCACACTAACACAAGCATACATATGCAAAAAGGCATCAAT